TTTTTGTCATAGCCTAGTTTACTTTATTGCCATAGTCTTGTTTTTGTTCCATAGCCATGTTTTTGCCATAGCCTTGTTTACCTTATTTGATACTTTGTTCATGTTTTTGTCACAGCTATGTTTTTGTCACAGCCATGTTTTTGTCACAGCTATGTTTTTGTCACAGCCATGTTTTTGTCACAGCTATGTTTTTGTCACAGCCATGTTTTTGTCACAGCCATGTTTTTTCACAGTCATGTAATCTTGCTTTGATACTTTGTTCATAGTTTTTTCGCAGCCTTGTTTTGTCCCATGTCTACCATCCACTCCTTTTGAGTGTGTTTTTGTTTAAATATACCCTTGTTTCCATATCTCCGCGACTGAGTCCTCCCTCCAAGATCCCATCTTCATGACACACTGGAGCTGTTCAAGGCCGAGAACGCATTAGTTTGGGAAGCACAACACATAAAATCAGGAGGCTTTTCTTTATTTTATAAAAGTGCACAGTGGGCTGGTCCCGCCGATATTTGCAAAAAAATGCCTATCAGCCGGCACGAGAAAATTCAGATCCAGACTCCAGATTCAGTTTTTTAAAGTCCGATCAAGGGCACCGATTTAAATAATCCACCCTCTGGCAGAAAGGTCCTGGTTACCCCGGGACTCCAACCCAGAACCAAGGACCTCGAACTCAGAACCAAGGGACTCCAACCCAGAACCTGGGTATTTGTTAGGGAAAAAACGTTCCCCAAACATTGTGAACAGAACAGTCTGTGCTTAATTGCGAGCTTCAGAAACTACACCGTAATTCCCCAAACTTTCCCCAAACTTTCCCCAAACTTTCCCCAAACTTTCCCCAAACATTCCCAAAATATGCCCCAAACGTTCCCCAATTGTTACCCAAACGTTCCCAAACATTCCCAAAACGTTTCCAAAATGTTCCCCAAACATTCCCCAAACGAGACCCAATAAAAATGGATTTTTAATGGATGCTATTCTGCTATATTTCCTGCCCTTTGATTTAAAAAAACTCGTTTTTGGCATCCTGCCGCTCGTGGGTGGATTCGCAAACATCAAAATTCTCCTAATCCACAACCACAAATGAAGCAAGTGGAATATTTAAGCAGAATATTTATGGAAACATGAGGTTCCGGTAATGACATTCATTAGTTATCTCACTACTTATCGGCCAACAGGAGGAAACACTAGATGTTCATTTCTCTGTTTTTCAGAGCAGCAGCCAGACCCGATTTATCATTTTATGACGCTAGAAAATCCAAAAACTAATAAAGAAAAAAAACTAATAAAACTAATAAAATCCCCTCCGTTTGGAAAAGACTTCTCTTTTAGTCGAATCTATACGTCTTTATTGTGCTTATTGGAGAAAATGTGACCTGTTTGATGGTGATTAGGGTTCCAGACTTTAAAAAAAAGGATAAAAAAGGGACTTTATACACACAGTTTT